GGTAAAGAGATGGAGTTGTCATTCCATGATGGTACTATAAGAGATTTAGTATTAATTATAAAGAGATTTAGTTTGTGTTTTTATTATATTCTAGGTAAAGAGATGTAGTTGTCATTCCATGATGGTATTATAAAGAGATTTAGTATTAATTATAAAGCGATTTAGTTTGTGTTTTTATTATTTTCTAGGTAAAGAGATGTAGTTGTCATTCCATGATGGTACTATAAGAGATTTAATATTTATTATAAAGAGATTTAGTTTGTGTTTTTATTATATTCTAGGTAAAGAGATGTAGTTGTCATTCCATGATGGTACTATAAGAGATTTAATATTTATTATAAAGAGATTTAGTTTGTGTTTTTATTATTTTCTAGGTAAAGAGATGGAGTTGTCATTCCATGATGGTACTATAAGAGATTTAGTATTTATTATAAAGCGATTTAGTTTGTGTTTTTATTATATATGTAGTTGTCATTCCATGATGGTACTATAAGAGATTTAGTATTTATTATAAAGAGATTTAGTTTGTGTTTTTATTATATTCTAGGTAAAGAGATGTAGTCGTCATTCCATGATGGTACTATAAGAGATTTAGTATTTATTATAAAGAGATTTAGTTTGTGTTTTTATTATATGCTAGGTAAAGAGATGTAGTTGTCATTCCATGATGGTACTATAAGAGATTTAGTATTTATTATAAAGAGATTTAGTTTGTGTTTTTATTATTTTCTAGGTAAAGAGATGGAGTTGTCATTCCATGATGGTGCTATAAGAGATTTAGTATTTATTATAAAGAGATTTAGTTTGTGTTTTTATTATTTTCAAGGTAAAGAGATGGAGTTGTCATTCCATGATGGTACTATAAGAGATTTAGTATTTATTATAAAGAGATTTAGTTTGTGTTTTTATTATTTTCTAGGTAAAGAGATGGAGTTGTCATTCCATGATGGTACTATAAGAGATTTAGTATTTATGCAGGATGCTACTAATAAAACATCAATATTAATTAGTGGTGGTGCTGGAGATTGTAAGAACTATGTCACAGACTGTGTTACTGGAACTCCCATCAGAGCTATGGCTGGTCATTCTGGTGAGTTAACCAAATTTACTCATTATGTGTTTTGCAACTTTCAAAACTGGCATAGATCGTGATGATACCTTCAGATTTTTCAACTGGTTTCCTTATAGTGATGCAGGTAGTTGGGGCTTACATGGAGAAAGTGTCTAGTCATTCTGATGAGGTAATAAACTGAGGTCCTTTGAGACCCAGGCTGTGCACGTA